GTCTTATTTAACTCTTATTTATTTCTATGTTTTTATTTGTCCTTTCTTATTTATTCAAAATTTATCGTTTTATTTAATTACTTCTATTCTTGTTTTATTATTATTCACTTTTCTATTAATTTCCCTTTTATTTTCTTTATTGATTTTAATGTACTTCTTATTATTTGCTCTTTCTTTAATATCTTTTATTGTTCTCATTTTATTTACTATTCTTTCTGTTTCTTAATTTGATTGTAGTAATATTAATCTCTATGATTTTATTAAATGTTAGATTTTTTCTCTTCCTAGTTGTGTTATTATTCTCATAGTGTATAAATAGTCAAATAACATTAACACTTTCATTAGAACAAATAGTATGTGATGAAGTGATGAGGTTTAATACTAAAGACAATAACTTTCATTCAGATTATATAACCAATAGATGGTTGCTTGTTTGTATTTGGAAATACACTTTTTTTATATAAAAATTAAAACCATATTTACTCAATAATCATTTGGATAAAAGAAAATAAGTATAGTTCTTAGAAAAGACAAACCACAATAAAATGAACTGCCATCACCAAGGCAGTATAATAAATAGAAATTAAATCAAAAAGAAGGGATGAATGAAACATTCACTAAATAACAGAAATGATAGTTCAAAAATAACACTTAACATAAATTTTCATCATTTTAATCAAAAAGAAATATGAGCTAATTAAAATCAACTAGAAAAGATCATATTTAATTAAAAGAGGTTATTGAAGCACTTACACCCATACAACGTTTTGGTTAAGAATATTTGTTTTCATTCAGTCATAGTGTTTATTATAAATAATTGAAATAGTCAAGTATTGTGTTATGCACTCATTAACTATTGTTTGTCTAACCATAAATTGGCTCCTTGATAAAAATAAGATTTGGTTGATGGGTATAATAACAGTAAATTTATATTTTATTTGTTCTATGATATAAAAGTAGTAGACTTTCTTTCAGAAGATAAAAAACAATTTTTGATAATAAGTAATAATTTCATGAATAAAAATATTTTTGTTATTAAACATCCTTTTTTTTATTCATAAAGAAATGGTTTAAAAAACAAGGATAATCGCATCAAAAAAGATAACATAAAAACAATTTAACAACTTAAACTCTTTGTTTAGAAAAGATCACCAAATCCACCGAAGTCTTCCTCTTCTTCTTCTTCTTTTTTCTCTTCTTTCTTTTCTTCAGCTTTAGTTTCAGTTTGTGCAGTAGTAGCAGCTGGGGCAGCGGCTGCAACAGCCATTGATCCCATTTGTTTCTTTCCAGCTTCAATAACTTCCCAAACATTCTTACCATTCATGGCATCGAAAACTTGTTTGATTTTAGCTTCGTCAATTTCAGCACCAGCAGCACTGAGGATTTCTTTGACTTTAGCTTCTTCAGCGTGTTCATGTCCAATAGTGCAAAGGATGTAAGCAGCAATGTATTGCATTTTCAGCCTGGGATGTCAATTTTTCAGTTTTTTCTCTCATTTTTAGGGCTTTTTCTTTTTACTATTTTCTTTCTTAAAATTTACTATTAATTATAGTTTATTAGAAATAGTTTAAGAATAGTTAAAATAATAATGCCAAGATTCAATCTATTAAGGAAAGAAAAAAGAAAGAAACAATCAAAAGAAACTCGTTAATTGAGAAGAGTAATAGAAAGTGCATGACAATCATAACTATCTCTTTCACCAAAAAAGTGATGTTTATTTAATTCTCTTGTTAGATTTGGGATAAGTATTGAAGGTAAATCAAGTTTACATCCTATATTCATTACAAAGAAGATTGTTTTTGATTTAACTAACTTCTTACGTTTTGAGGATTTACTAATTTTGGAGGAAGAATAACAAAAAGATGAAAAATAAGATACTAATAAGTTTAGACAATAAGAAAATCAAAATATAAAATAATAAATATTAACAAACTTATTTCTTCAACCATATTATAATCATCTTCGATAAAATCCCAAACTAATAATAGTGCTGAACAAAAGTTTTTATCTGTAAATTTATTTTCTTCAGAAATTTCAGCAGTATTATTGCATAATAATACACTTTGTTAGATGAGTCAATACATTATATAAATTAATATTAAAGATAAAAATATCTAACAAACAAAACTGATTGTAAAATCCAAGAGTCTAAGTAATATTTTATATGGAGTTGAAGGATAAATTGACGATGTCTTTCTAGTAAATTCATGAAGAGTTCAATATTATAGTCAAATTGATGTGAAATTGGAGTTCCAATAATTCTATTTGACAATTGAGATTGGACTAATTCAAAGTGATAATTCTGAAGATTATATACTTCTTTGTTTTTAGGAATATTTGATTGTTTAAAAAAGAAGGTAAAAAATGATCTAAATGATTAATATTAAATTTTTCAAAAACAAGAAGGAAAGAAACAAACTTCATTATTTCCATGGATATAACAGACAAGTAGAAAATGTTTAGATAAGGTTTAAATGAGAGATTATTGATATAATGATATGATTAAGATTTGATTATTTTTTTTTCACTCTTTTTTAAAAAAATAATAAGAAAAAGAACTTTAAAATAAATTAGTTAATGGAAAAACCAAAACCAGAACTAAAACATTATTTAGAAAAAAGAATTCTTGTTAAAATACATGGAAAACGAAGTATTATTGGTGTATTGAGTGGTTATGATGAGTATATGAATTTAATTTTAGATGAAGCATATGATACATCAAATCCAGATTCTGATAAACAAATTCCAATTGGAATGATTATGATTCGAGGAAATTCAATACTTTCAGTAGAAACAATTGATCCAGTACATACAACAAAGTAAAAAGTTGTTTTATTATTTAAGTGATTGGCATTTGTTAAAATATTTTGGTTAAAAAGAATATTAACAAAAAAAAAACAGATAAAAGAAATCTTACAAGTTATTGAGAAATATGAATAGAGCCACTTACAGATGACATTGGGGATATATTACTACAAGGTAAGCTCATTGCCCTTTGAGTAATAGGTTGAATATTTTGAGGTATTGATTCTGGAGTATATTGTAATCCTATGTCTGACTGTATTATTGGATAAACAATAGATTTTAATTCATTTGGTAATTCAATTACTTGAGAATAGAATGGTAATATAGAAGATGATAATGTTTTTGTTTGAGTAATAATTGAATTTGCATTATTTACAAATTGAACAACTAAATTACCATCTATTTGTGATGAAGAATTTTTAGCTTGATTTTCTAAAGTATTTAATATTGATTCATTGTCTTGTGACATTTGATTTAATGAATTAATTGTATTTGTAATAGAAGATTGGAATACAGATAAAATAAATGGAGAATGTGATCTATAAGTTCTAGGAGAATGAGTAGAATTATAACTACCAATCATAATAGTACTAGTAGAATTTTTATGAACTGGTTGTGTTGGGGTTTGTGGAATTCCTTGTACACCAATATCTCCAGATGTATTTGTTCTTGTTCTTTGTTTATGAATCCTTGGAGAAACATCTTCAGATGTTTCACCTTGAATTGAATATCTTCTTCTTCTAAATTGATTACCAGTATTATCTGACCTAGTTGATGTTGTTGGAAGACAAACCTCTTTTGATGTTGTAATTGTTTGAGGTCTTGAATTATAATATTGTTGTGTTTGTTGTTCAAGTAATTGTAAATAATAATTCTCATTTTGACAATAATCTTCCCAAGAAGGTCTCTATGATAATAAGTTTTGTCTTTGAATTCTCTAAAAAATTTCATTAAAATTGTTTTATTTTCTTTTTCATTTAAATGAATTAATTATAACATAAATATTATATATCCTTCCTTCTTTTTTGATTAATTGTTGAAGAATAATTTAATATTTAAATTAATTAGTAGAAAGAATTAATATATTTTATCAATAATTATAGTCAAAATGAAATTAAATACTAACAAACAGAATGAGATGGAATTTGACACCATTTAATTCTACTAGTAATTTGTTGAATTGATTTTGTTGGGAATCCACTTGAGATTTTGAGAATTGATGTAATATCATTAACTTTTTTTCCTTGTTGTTGTAGTCTATAAAAAATTAGAGTTAAAATTCAAATTAATACAAATAAAACAAATTAATAAAAATGAAACACACACCAATAACTCTTTATCTAAACTGGTTTGTTCATCATGTGACCATTCACAAACACCTACTGTATCATTTTTGATAAGATTGTGATTTTGTTTTACAGACATTTTCACAATTCAAAAATTTAACAATATTTTAGTTCTATTTACTCTTTTTCTCTTTTTGTCATTTCTGAACCCTTAAAAAAATTCCAAATCAAAAAAAACTTTTTTCGTTCTTTTCTCTCTTTGAATGAAAATCAATCTTCTTCTTTCTTTTTAACCCCTTCTAATCTCCTGAAAATTTGCTACTTTTTATCCTCTTTTTCTTATTGATTATTCTATCTTTAGATTCATGATTGAGAAAAACTTAAAAATGATGAAAAAAGATTGGTTTTTATTCTTACTGAATCAAAACAATAATGTGTATGGAGCAAGAATGGACAGTTGTTGAGCAATTGGTTCTAGTAGAGTCAATTGACTATTATTGTCCATATGATTATAGAGACTGGAGATTAGTTAGTGAGTTAGTAATAAAGACAATGTCATATTTTAATCATGGTAATATTAAATTATACAGTCCAGATGAATGTTTTAATCAATGGACTGTAATTGAAAAGAAGTATTTGGATAAGATTCCAATTGAATGTTCTTTATTAAGGTCAATCATTCTTATTCTTAGAAATAAAAGAATTGAAGAACTTGATACAGAAATCCAAATCATTAAACAACGTCTTCTTCATTTCAAACAAATATCTTAAAAGTATTCATTTTTCTTTTATTTATTCTTTTTTTATTAAATCTCTTTTTTTTTTGAATGATGTTAATTTTTAGTATACAAATAATTTATGTAAATAAAAAATAATAAATTAACAAGAATGTAATTCACCATAGCTTCATTCTATTGAAAATAACCAAACATAACAATGTCTTTGAAACAGAGTTGATATTGTTTATTATTAATAATTTTCGTGAAGATTGCTTAAAACATTGTTTTTAAGATAATAATGTTATTAATATTTATATGAAAGGCAAAGAGATTCTTTGGTTTATTTTTTTTTGTTTCAAAGACAATCTTTTCATTAACAGCTCATTAACAATTAACGAAGAAGAGCAATAGAAAGAATATTCTACTTTCTACTTGAAATTCAAAATGGTTTATATTTGAAACAATGAATAAGAGAATGATAAAATAAACACCACCATTCACTTTATCAACACTTATTTATATTTCAATTTCATTGTACTTAATTAAATAAACTAAATAAGAATTAGAGACAGAGAGAAGTTAAATAACACTATAATATTTAATAATCAAAACGATCTAGATTAATAACAGTGAAGATGTTTTTGTATTCTAAGAGTGAATAGTCATGAATATATTATATAAAGTATTGATTCAAAAATTATTAAAAAAGAAAGAAGTGTAGTATTCTCATCTGTTTAACTTCCTTGTATTTTTTTTAATAGAACTCTTTAATTGAGTATTGTTTAAGTCATTTAATGTTTGAATATGTTTAAATTTGTCAAAACAATAAAATAGGAGAGAATAGTTTGTGAAGAGATAAACACTTTTACATTGTCTGTCATGATTTCATAAAAAGGTACTTTATTCTCCTCTACAAGGATTTTTCCTAATCTTACATGAATAAATTTGATAGTCATACTAATTAAATCATTAACTAAATCAATTTGCTTATTTTTGGTATTATACAATTACTTTCAAAAAAATTTAATAGGTAAGCTTGTAATGGCAATTTAAATTCAACACAACAAGTGTTAGTATTTAATAACAATTTTCCGTTGATTAATTTAATGGTGGGTGAGTGAGAGAAGTTCTTCATTCTTTTTTAAGTTAATTCGTTCAAATTAAATAATGAAATTTTGTGGTTTTGATATTTACAAACAAAAGTGAAGGTATGAAAAGATTGTATCAAAAATATGTATTATAAGTCAGTGTCTATTCACTTTGTAGATCATTATTTTCTTATTAAATATTATTATTGATTTATTTATACAATATTATTAAATACAAAATCAGGAATAATAATGTAATATTTAGTATTTTTTGTATTCAGTTTGACATAAAATTCATTTTCATTAATAAATCAATTTCATTAATTGTTTAAATCAACATGAAGAAAGGGGGAGAGATAAGATGAAATGGTAATGAATCAATGTGAATATTAAGGTAGTGAACAAAAGAAATAAACAAAATGAAAAATAAAAAAATAATTGTAAAATTACTTATTAATTCAAAAACTACAAAAGATGAATCAACAACCAGTGTATGAAAAAATATATCAGAAACTAAGAATTAGAGAAAATGAAGGGGCTCAACAGAGGAACATTCAGCACGATGAAATAAACAAAGAGAGTGAACAAACAAAAAAAACAAAATGGTATAAATCTAATGAAATTCAACAAAGACAAATGTCAACAATAAGAGATGACACTACTAAAGAAGGACATAATGAGAAAAGAGAAGATATAAGTAGGAGAGAAATAAATCAAGAACATTATAATTTTGAAAAATACAAAGACATTTTATTAAGAATTAGAACATTAGTTAAAACAATATATCCAATAGCAAATCTAGAATCTGTTAATAGACTGAGTAATTTAATTATTCATAACTTGATTGTGTATGGAATAAATGTTGAAGAATGGAGAGAAATAGAAGAAATCAAGGAATTAAATATTGAAGCTCTTCAAAGAAATGTGATTGACCAAATTGTTTTAACACATAGAAAACATGAAGTAATACTTAAAGCATTATTTGTTGATAAAGTCAAAAGAATAATAACAAGAATCAACGAAGGAAATGTTTTAATTGAGGAAATATATAAATATCCATTAATTGGAACAGAGTGGGGATATGCATTTGATATCGCATTATGTAATGAAATTGTTAAAAAAGGAAATGAAATGTATCATGAATATCTTAATAATCCAATTATTTCATATTATTTAATGTATCAATTTGGAGTTGTTGATGAACAAAAACAAATAGAAATCATTAAAACAAGAATAAATTTTCTGATAATGTTATTTAATATGTAATTTAATTGTTTAACATTGTTTATTATTTATTCTAAATGAGAAATTAAATACAATTCAATTTAATTATTCGATTTATTTTATGATTGATAAGAGAATAATGTATTTCTAATAACAACATAATAAATCTATTTTATTTTGTTTTATAGTCATATGTTATTTAATTTAGTTATGTTTATAATTATAATTCAATTAATAAATGTATTGATGTTCATTTAATATTTGATTCTTTGAAATAAACAAGAATTAAAAAGATAATTGATGGAATATATTTAAACATAAATTAAATGTAATAACAAATAATTTGTTTGTAAAATAAATGATATTTAAATTAAAAGAAATTCCTTGATAATATAACAGCAATGAATATTTGAAATAAACATTAATTTATAAGTAGAATGATTAACAGTAAATAACTTAGAACTATCACTAATTTATTTATCATTTAAATTATATTAATAAAGAGAAACTATTGAATGAATCATATTAAACATTGTTTCAATTATGATATCATTCCAGTGATGTACTAACTTCATATGATTCATTCTTTCTTCATTTGTAAGAAACAAGGAATGACAATCAGAGATATAACATTGATATGATGGATGAACTAATGAATTAACCTTAAAGAAAGAGTCATGAACTTCACATAAATGAATATCAAGATACCTTTCATTAGAGAAGTTACGATGACAAGATAAACAAATAAATGAATGATTCAATCTCATGTGATGTTCCATTTGGGTTGTTGTTTGACAATCAAATAAACAAAAATCACAATGATATAATTTGTTGTCTTTGATTAAATCTGATTTCCTTTTCATGAATAAATGAAATTTATAGTTTTCTTTTAGAAAAAAAAAAAAGAAATGTTCGATTTATCGGCACGAACATCGTAAAGACTCCGTCCGTAATTTGGAAATCATATTCTGGCTGAACCCTTAATTGGAAGTGTATTATTCCCTAAAGAATCTTAACACCTTGACATCAGCAATTATAAAATATCAAATCAATTGGTACTAACTAAATGTATTATTCATTGATTATTATGACTGAAAAACTTTCGTTATATATAACATTTTAATTTCAAAATAAAAAGAAACTAATGAATAACAAAAAAGAACTTAAAAGGGTTGAAGAAATAAGAGATTAGATAAAAATAAAAAACTAACATAATTAGAAACGATAAAAAATTGAAACAATTTTAAGATCTGATCAAGATTACTCCTAACAATGAATAATGAAAAATCTCATTCAGAAGTAAGTCGGAATGAAGCTGGCACAGTGATGTTTCAAGAATTAACCCAACAATCTGAAAATTTGATAAATGAACCTTTAGTAAATGTTGTTCCTCAAATCATTTCAGTAAATAAAGATTATGAAACACAAGAAATAAATGGAAATTTACAATTAAAAGAATTTAATGAAGAATTAGAAACACAACATACTCCTCAAACAAAATATTCTTCTAGTATATTAACAAATACTAACCAACCAACCACACCTCAAATTATAACAACAAATATATTAAATACAAATAAAGATGGAATATATGAAGGACTTCCAAAAGTAGGAATAAATAATCAAATTAATACATCAAGAATCATAGATGGTAGATTATTAGTTTCAGATTTAAATAGTCCAATAGTTACAACATCAATTGAATCTTCGATGATGAAAAAACCAAGAAAAGTGGAGAAACGTATTAATCATATTTATACTAAAGAACAAAAAACAAAATTAAGAGATTTATTCCGTAAACATGGAGCAAATTGGAAAATGGTTAAATATGCATTAGAAACAGGTATTAAAGAAGATTATTGTCGTAGATTAATTAATTCAATTAAACGAGGAGATGATATTACAACAAAGAAAAAAAGAGGACCTCCTGCAAAACATTCTGTAGAATTAATACGAGAAATTATTGAAGAAGTTAAAATTAGAGGGAAAAGTACAAGAGAAGCATCAAAACAATTAAAAGTATCACCTTCATCAATTTGTAGATATATGAAAAAACAAGAAGCAAGAGAAATTTATGAAAGAATTCAAGAAGCAAATAATAGAAATAATAATAATTTAAATTTAAATGAAATAGATACAGAATCACCACATTTAATACCAATAGTTGAAAATGGATTAGGAATTGGTTCTGAAACACAAATTTCTCAAAATCAAATTCCAAGTATTAGACAAGCAGAACAAATTAATTTAAATAATCAAATAAGTGTTTCTGAAATTGGAAATAATAGTCAAGTTTCTATAAACCCAAAACTTATAGAAATGAGTATGAATGGAATTTCATTAGGAATACATTCACTAACTGGAGTAATTAATGATCCAAACACCATTCAAACTATTGAAATTCCACCTCAAGAAATAAATGTAAAACCTAATGAAAAAGAAGGAGTTGGAATAAAAGAAGAAGAAGAAGAAAATGGTACAGTAATAGAAATAGCATTATAAAAAAAAAAAATTTAATGGTTTTATTACTTTCTTTAAAGTATTAATTGATTATTGTTTGTTAATACAATTTTTTTTTTTAATAGAAAATTTTATTTAACTTTAAATTAGATAGATTAAACAATAATCTTTAAAGTAAAATAACAATAAAATAACAATAAAATTACTATAAAATCACTATAAAATCACTATAAAATCACTTTAGATTAATCTTGTTTTGTAAGATTATTTAACTAACTAAATGTATATTCATAAAATATAAACCAAATTAGATTCATCTCATATCTAAAAAAAAAAGTATCTCTTTCTATTATAACATAATGACTGACAAATATGTTCCATTAAAAAATGAAGATGATTCTATTCAGGGAAATCTAACAAATTCTACTATTGTTCAACAAACTCTACAAGAACATGTTGAAACACAACCTCAAATTTTCTTAGCACCATTACATAATGATGAACATTCATTTTATCAAATTCAACAACCTCAAGAACCAGTTGATAAAAGTTTACAAAATCCAGCATTTATATTATTTGTATTAGGGTTCTTCCTTCCATGTATTTGGATTTATAATATTATCAAATATAAAAATTCAGGAGATTTAATTGAAAAAAGATGGGCATATTGGTCAATGATAGCACTTTTTTGTGTTACTATTTTCTATGCTATTTTAGTTCTTATTGTTATCTTAGTGTAACAATATACAGAATTTCTAATTATTGAAATCATTTCTTTTTTAAATTAAATCACTTAAAGAAACACAAGATTTTATTTTTTGTATCACAATCTTCTTTTTTTTTAAAAAAGTCACAATAATTTATGAAGTTTAAAATTAAATTATAAATCTTCAAATAAAACTAGAATAAATTAATATAAATGAATATTGAAATGAGATTTAGTTAATGTTGTTATTAAACAGATAAGATCATTAATAAAATTATAAAATATAAGAAGTCCTTGGGGATCTTTTGATTGTCTTATTTCATTTAATGTACCGAATTTAGATGTTACAAAGAATATATGAATGTTATTCATTTCAATTTCAAGTTCTTGACGACTTTCATTAATTTTATTTGGCCAATGAGTATCAGTTTGTCTACCAATAAGAGAGAATATATATTATATAAGAAAAGAAACAAACGATAAAATATGAGATTGAGAGATAATGTCTTGAATTTCTTTCATTACAACTCGTGTTAAATGTAATTTTTTAATAATTTCAGATTCATTTCGATATCGAGATTTGTTATAATAATTAAGTTCACCATTATCAAATATTTCAAATTTCATATATTCTTTTCCATATTGATTATTATGACCATTACTAAGAATAAGTAAGAAAAAAAAATTATAGAAATAAATAAATTAAACAAACTAATAACGAAGATAGAAATGATTAAAATAAGACTTGTTTTGAGGATCAGTCATAAAGTAATAATATTTTCAGATTTTTTTTTAGTGAGAATTAAAATAAAATAATACAGGGTTTATAATAATGTATAAAATCTACTTTTTGATAAATTAAAAAAGAACTCATTTTAGAATAATAAGAATCTTGATGTCTGAAAATAGTGGTGAAGAACGACAATTAAGAGTTAAACATCATAAAATCCAAAACCATGATTTTTGTGATTGTTGTACTAAAAATAATGGAATTATTTTATATTGTGATGGATGTGATTGTTCATTTCATCTTCAATGTGCTTGTCCTCCTATTGCATCTGATAAAATCCCAGAAAAAGAATGGTTTTGTAGAGTATGTTCTTATCGTTTAGGAATAACAAAATTAGATATTCCAGAAAATGATCCTTTTTATCTTGTTCATAAACATTTAACTACTGTTAACCCAATTCAATTTGAAGTTCCTCGTTATATTAGTAAATATACTGATTATGAACCACCTAAGAAACCAACTAAATATTCTCGAGATGTTTGTGAATATTGTGAACAAAAAGGTGTTCATGTTAAATGTGCACATCCAGGTTGTAGTCGTGCATTTCATTTACAATGTCATGATCCACCTTTATTTGCAATTCCTAAAATTTTCTTTTGTGATATTCATACACCAAAAAAAGAAGTTTGTTTTTAATTATTTCTTTATTTTTTATATAAGAAAAAATAAAAAATTAAAGAATAATTTGAATTAAAAAAAAAAAAAAACATCTTAATTATTTAAAAAATGTATTCTTAATTAAAAAAAAAAAACTTATTTTTGTTAGAAAAAGATTCAATTCTTAAAACCAACTTCTGCTATCTTTTTACATGAATCAACAGAAGAAGATCCATCTTTCTTTTCACCAGTAGCACCTTTAATAAAACTTGAAGAAAAATTAAAAAGATAAAAGAAAAATAAGTTAATTTTTATATTGTAAAGAAAATTTAAAATGATTAATTTTTTTTTTTAAGGAGGAAGTTATAAAAATGAATAAAAGTTAATTGATTTAATATATTTAACATTGAATTTCATCAATCATTGATTGAAGAGACATCACTTGTTCATTTCTTGGTCCACGAGTAAATCGTTCACATTTAATTGCACGTTCTAAATGATCAATCATTAAAGAAAGAGGTTTTTTTTCTGTATTAATGTTTTTAACAGGTTTTTTTGATGTATGATTTGGAATTCTAATTTGTTTTTCTGTTAAAGATTTGTAATCAGATTTAGGTAATTTTCCTTTTTTTTTATTAAATTTACCTAAATTTTGTTCAGAATAAATGAAATTAATAATTTCTTTAAATGTTTTTATAGCTTGATTATATTCAATTCCAAGCATTTGACTTATTAATTTTTTAAATATAATTATATCATTTTCATCTTCTTTTATTTTCTAGTTATTAACATTTTTGTTTTTTTTTAAATGAAGAAATTAAAGAGAAAATAAAATAATAAGAAAAACAAACACAACAACAATATAATTTCTTCATAACAAGAATACAATATCCAACAAAATATCTTCTAGTTTTTCCTTGAAAAGGAAATTGTTTTATTTTATTAGCAATTTCAATTAAATTGAATTCCTTTTTAGATGGATTAATTTTAACTTCTTCTACAATCTCTGTTCTAATATCTTCAGGATAATGCCATGTGTCTATATCCTCTGATGGTATTTCTTGTCTAACTAATACCTTCCTAATAAATGCAGATTGTGGGGTTCCGTTCATTTAATCTGATATGTAAAAGAATACTTTTTCTAGATTATACTACTAGTCTGTATTGAATCAATAAATTATAGATATAATTCTTACTAGGGGTATGATTAATTTATCTATTTATACAACAGAAATATTACCCTGTTCAATTTAATTAAGAATTCCTTTCATTATTCAATTATTTAATAAAGAATCTAATTATTAATCAATATTTTTTTAAAAAATATAAATTTTATATTATTTTTTCTATTAATTTCAATTAATTTAAACATAATTATATTAAGAAAGAATGTAAGATATTAAAAACAGTTTAAATAAATAGATGTTATTACTTCTTTTTCATAATTTTTGTGAGAGGTGATAGATAGTTTTATATTTCTTTTGATTTGTTTTAAAGAATATAATATAATATAAAAAAAAATACAAATAGAAATTAAAATAAATAATGAAAAAAAAAAGTGTTTTAAAGTAGAATTATTTTTTTTTGTCAAGAATTAATTGTAATTCTTTACATAAAGTGTAATCTTTTGGTAAATGACCAAAAGATACTAATTTTAATAATTGTTGGAATCTATTAGAGCAACCATCCATATTTGAATAACCATTTCCTAAATAATGGAAATGAATATTAATTATCATTTCTCTAATCATTCTTCCTAATACATCACCAGTAATTTCCATTCCATTTAATAAAGGACCAACAATAGGCATTTCTTTTTTTCTAAAGATTCTAATTCCATACATTCCATTAATATTTGGTTTAATAACAATGATAATTTCACAATAATTACCAATAATTGATGGATGATATGGTTTAATTCCTTCATCCCAAATAATACAAATTAATGAAGTTACTTGACTAATTGTTTTTTGATTTAAATCATCTATTTGATTAATTTCTTCAAAAATATATTCATATTGTGCATCAGCATAATAACAAATTTTTTCATTTCTACTTTTTTGACAAAATTCAGGGTCACAAATTAAATCTTCTAAAGATTGATACCAACCTAAACATCTTATAAATTGTTTATATCTAAGACTTCCTTCTTTTTCTTCAATAATTTTTTCAACAGACATATCATTTTCTCCAACATAAATAATAGTACTTTTAAAGAATAATCTTGAAGATAATTTATCTAATTCAATAATTTCATTTAAGAAATCATTTGTACTTTCTATTGGAACTAATAATTTATCATTCATTGAATATAAACTAAGAATATTTTGTAAATATTCTGTTAATGTATCTCTTGCTCCTTCATTTAAATCAAGTTGTCTTGAATTTATTTTAACAAGATCTAATGATTCTTTAATTTGTTTTTCTTCTTCTTTTATTGTTTCTGTCATAACTTTTTCTATTGTAGTAATATATTTATAATATTCATTAACTTTCATAATTTCTTCAGGAAATTCACACATTAATAAACTAGAATCATCTTTACATGTATTTTCAACTAATGTTTTTAACATATTTTCTTGAGAAAAAATTTTTTCTTTAATAATTCCACTTTCTTGATTATTTTTTTTCCATGGAATTTGATTAATAGGAATAAAATCATCTTTAATTTCAGGTAATCCAATATCATTAATTGTTTGCATTGGAGCAACAAGAAATTCATACATTCCATACATATTTCTAATAAAAACTCTAGTATGACAATCATTTGAAGGTAAAACTGATATAATAGTACTATCTCCATATGCAAAATATCTTGATAAAGATTGATCTGGAATATTTGCTTCAGTACATTTAAACATACCATGTTCAGTTGGACTACCAAAAACTACTTGAGATAATACTGCAACAAATTTTTGTGCTGCTTCATGTGGATCTATACATGTCATTGGTCTATCAGGATTTTCTGGTGGATTTTCTAATGAAAGAGTCATTTGAATAACTTGGAAAAGACGATGAGTTGTTTCATCTAAAAGTCTAATAGAAAACATATTTTTACCATAACATAATAACCAACGAGACATTGTATCAAAAATAAATGAAATACAATCAATAGTTATAGGACATGTTAATATAATATTACATAATGCATCAATTATATAATTAATTATATTATCTGTTAATAATTGTGCTTTTGTACTAAGATAATTTAATATTTGTAAAGATGTAGTATAAATAATAAAACTTGGAGATCGAACTCCTTCAAAGAAAGTATCTAAGAAAATTCTAAAATCAATATCACGATGATTTTCTAAACAAATAATAAATAAATGAATAAATGACCAATATAATATTATTTGTGTTTGAGGTTGAGGCATAATACGTAATGCACCAGTAATAATATTAATCATTGTAGTACAATAATCACCTGGTAAATTTAATCCCATTAAATTAAAAGATTCTTGTAAATTTGGATAGTTATATTCAAGAAAAACAAGAGAATTAATCATTGAACAACATTTAATTTGATCTTCTAATGTTGAATTTCCAGTTGATAATTTACTTAATGATTGAAGTACTGATGGAAGACAAGGAATAAATTTATTATTTGGATTACTAAACATTTCATAAGAAGATGAAATAAATGCCCATTGTACATCAATTGTTTGAAAATGAATACTTTGAATTAATGATGTATAAATATCATATATTTCATTTTCATATTGAGGAAATTGTCTACAAACAATTCTACTAATTGATTTAAAACTTAAACATTTTGATTTTTCTGTAATTAATGGATTTGGTTGTGCAACTATTTCAATAAAAATTGGAAGAAAAAGTTCTTGTAATGGTAAATACATAGATTCATTAATTTTAAATATTTTATTATCATTATTTAATATATTATTAGTGTTATTATTATTATTATTATTTGAAATTGATGAAATAGATGAAGTAGGTTGAATTGTTTTTCTAATTCCTTTCCAATTTGTTGGTTGAATATTCCATTGAGATTGTCTAACTGGTTTAGGTTGTGAAATAATTGTTTCTGATTTTATTTCATATGTAGCATTTTCTTCTGCAAATGTTAATAATAATACAAGTTCATTTAACATTTCAATATTTTTATTAATAATTTCAATATTATTTAATTTTAATGGATGATCAATAAATTTAAATAATAATAACCAAAGTTCTCTTATTCTATGAGTATCCCATACTGTTTTAATCATTCCTAATTTAGGTTCACTATGAGGTGTATCATAATATATTTCTTCATTTAAATTTTTTATATAATTACTTCCTTCAATTGGTAATGGTACAGAAAATATAGTTGGATTATATACTTTTTGTGTAAATATTGTTGTAAGATGTTCAATTTCTATTTGAATAACACTAAGCATATCAACATCATAAAATGGTTCTAATCTACTTAATAATTCTATCCAATCTCCTTCATATTGAGTCCATTGAATATGTAAAACAAATAATACTTTTAATAATTCTTTTTTATATGGAGAATAAACTTTATTTTTTACATATTGTGTAAAATTTAATGCACATTGTGTAACTGTTGAAAGAATTGTTGATTTTAAACTTGGTGTTAATTTATCTTCAATTAATCCAAATGTTTCATAAAATCGAATAAGTATTTCAAAAAATTCTTTACATTTATCATTATTTAATTCTTTTTCAAGAAATTCTTGTGAAAACCATTGTCCTGGTGTTTCAATAATTTTAAATTGAATATTTGTAAGTTTATCTTTTAATATTGTTATTAAATTATTTTGTTTATCAAAGAAGAAATCTTTATACATTTTAAGAAATGATTCAACTGACATTTTATCATTAGGTCCAAATACATTTGGCATTTCAGTATAAAAATGAATTAAAATAGAAAGAAATCTTTCATCAAGAAGTAATACTCTTGAAAAATTTCCTTGTGCTGCATTAAGTACTTCATTTCCTAATTTAGAATATAATTTAGATGGAACATCTCCATTATTAAAATGATGTTGAATATTTAAAGATGATAATGATCCTATTTTTTGATAATTAGGTATAACACAACAAACTATTTGATAAAATAATCCTTGATATAATTTAATATTATCTTGACTCATAAAATATTCTTTAAAAAATAATTCAAGTAATTGGTTAGTATTTGTTTCTTGTGTTCTTCCATCTAAAAGTTCTGCTGGACAATATACATTTGAATTACAATTAATTGTTGGTATTAAATTTTCTGGTACTTTACTTTCTTCTTCTAAACTAAGATATGATCTAAGATTAAAACTAGGAAGGAATAAACATCCATAAATATCTGTTACATCATTATGAATTTTTATTAATTCTAAAACTGTTTTAAATGTTTCTTTTCTTACTTCAATATTAGAATCTTTACATAAGAAATTTTTAATTACTGGAACTATAATATGTTAGTTATTATATATTTTATCCTTTGTTTTTTCTTTGAAAATAAATAAATCTTTCTTTTAATGAATTTCTCAGAGAATTTAAAATGATTTTTTAAATTAAAAAAAAAACAAACGAAGTTTAGAAATTTCTGTTGTTGGAAGAAATTGTGCTGAAAATTTAATAACATCAAGCATTGTTTTAACTTCTTGTAAACTAAGTGAATGTCCTCCTTTTTTAAATAAATTATCAATTGAATCTGGAATTTCTTGAAGACATCGTGTTAAAGCTTCAGTATTTGTTGAGTATGTAACTGTAGGAATAACTGTTGTTCCTAATGACATCATTGATAATAATGCTTTAACTGCTGAACTAGAATCTTTGCCAGTAAATTGTTGAGTATATTTTTTAATTGCTTTAGCATCACTCTTTACTTCATTTACAGGTTGGAATGGTGTTCCCATTTTGGGTGCTTTTTTGCTCATATTTAATACTAAATTATCTAGTTAAAAAAAAAAAAAATTTTCTTTCTTTTTTTGAGATTTTTTCAGTTCATATATATCTAAATCACAAAAATTTATAACAAAAATTAAAAAATAAATAAATAATAAACAAAACTAAAAAATGATATTATTATGAAAACATCTTTAACTCAAATTGATAAACCTCTTACAGAAATAAATTCTATTCAAAAATATCAATGGTTTGATGATTATATTTCTAATAATCGTGGAGGTTCATTTGGAATAATTAAAATTACTCTTAATGGTAGAGGATATTGTAATAAAGAAATTTCATTAGAAGAATTACAATCAATGATAGGAATATTACAACCAAAAAATGATGATCCAGATGCAGATATTTGGATTGATGTATATGGAAATAATGAAAAAGAATTAAAAAAAATAGGAGAAATATTTGGAATTCATCCATTAACTATTGATGATTGGCTTTCAGATTCAACAAGAAGTAAATCTACAATTTTTGATACATATTATGAATTAAGTGATAAAGAATTATTTTATCAAAGTGATTCTAATATATTAGATTATTCATCTATTAATATTACAATGAGAGATACATTTGTATTAACAGTTCATTCAAAACATTTACATGCAATAAAAAAAGTAAAAGATAAAATATCATTAAATTATATTGAATCACTTCCAAGTGCACAATGGGTAATGTATGCATTATTAATGGATATTATTAAAGGATATAAATTAATAATGAAACATATTGAAGAAGATTTAGATATATTTGAAAAATTAGCTGAATTTATGATATCAACAGATCAAAATGCTATTTTAGCAAGATTAATGAGTATAAAAAAAAGAGCATCAAATCTTGATTATCAAATATCTCCTAAAAAAGCATTACTTCGTTATCTTATTAAAACTCCAACTCAAAAAATTAGTAAAATGGTTAAAATTTATTTAAGAGATGTTCTTGAAGAAGCTGTTATTATTGTAAAAAGAGTTGATTTTGTAAATGATAAAATTGATGATATAACTAATACTTTTTTATCTAGAATGACTTTAGATTCATATCGTGTAAATAGAGATCAAGAAGAATTAATGAAAAGATTTGCTATCATTACAACATTATTTACTCCTTTAACATTTCTTTCTACATCATTTGGAATGAATGTTCTTGTTCCAGGTCAAGATTTAGATAATTATGGAATGTTTATTAGTCTTTATATTATTGCAATAGCAGCAATGATAGGAGGTATTTTGTATTTTAAATTAACTCATTGGATTTAATTTATTTATTTATTTTTTTTTTTTTTTTTTTTAATTTAATTTTGTTAAATAATCTTCTTATATAAAAAAATTAAAATTTAATATGATAAAACAAAAAATTAGTTAAATTTAAGCTGTATCCATTTCAGTTCCTAAAGAAAATCTATGTCTTAAATCCATTTTTCTTAATAATCGATATTGTTCTCTTTTTGGTAAAACTTTAATAACTTCTCTCATTTTTTCTTTTAAACGAGGACGAATATCTTTTAATTTTGCTAATGCTTCTTTTTCTTCACTTATTTTTTGTGCACTTTTTGCTGCATCAACTTTATTATTACTTAATTTAGTTTTATCATTATTCATATCATTATCAATAGCAATTAATAATTGTCTTTCAAGTTCATCCATTTCTGTTAATTTTGTTTCTATAGTTTGAACTGTATTTTCTACACGAGTAAGACCAGTTTCTCCCATTCCACTTGATGTTCCTCCTGCTGCTGCATTTCCATCTTGGAATAATTCATATTCAAAGTTATCCATTTCTATATCAAAATCTATTTCTTCATTAATATTATAACAATGTACCATCGTTATAATTAATAATATAATTCCAATCATTTCCCTTAATATAATATTTCTTATTTTTCAGTTTTTTTTCTTTTATCTTTTCTTTTTTTTTTTTTTCTTTTGACTTTTCTAAATTATTATTTTTTTGGTTATATATAACGATAATTTTGAAAAATGAATAATTTAGAGAAATTCTTCTTGATCAATAGCAAAATCAAATCTATGTCTTAAATCAAATCTTCGAGCTAATCTAATAGCCTCTCTTCTTGGGAGTGTTTTAATTATTTCTTCTTGCTTCTTTCTTAATTGAGGAATAAGAAGTTCTGCTTGTTCAGAAATTTGTTTTCCTTCATTTGCTTTTTGTTTAGCTATATCTGCTTCATCACCATTACCTCGAGCACCAGCAGATTTTGGAATATTTTCATCACATTCAATTAATGCCACACGATCTACATTTTCTAATTGAACAAGTTCTTTTTCTATTTTCAACACTGTTTCTTCTACACGTTTTAATCCTTCTTGTTTAATATCTCCATCATCATCTGCAACAGCAGAATAAATTGGTTTAAAGAAAAACCCAAGATCATATTCTTCTTCTTCTATTTCTTCATCAAAATATAAATCTGTATCATCATTTAATAGATTAAATTCATAATTATCATAATCAAAATTTATTCCATAACTAAAACCAATGAATAACAGAATTAATATCATTAATTTATTATTATTGAATTAAAATAAAACAATATGATTTTTTTAGTTTTTATTTTTATTTTTTTATGATTTTTTATTTTTATTTTATTTTCTTGAGTAATATTTTGTATTTCTTTTTTTATTTTAAAGATATTATAAAAAACAAGAAAAAAAAAAAGACCATAAAAATTATTCTCTCTCTTAATTAAAAAGATTAATTGAACACAATTTATTTTGTTTTATATTTTCATTTATTATTCGTAATAGAGATTTAAGGAGTGTATGAACCTTCATCTTTATTAGTTACTCCTGTTGCCTTTAATATAATTGGAAGTAAAATAGCAGCAACAACAATTATCATTATTATAGCTACTACAATTAAAATAATACACATTAATTTTGAACTTTGTTTTGCATATTCATGAGCTTGTTTTAAATCTTCAGTCCCTTGTTTAACATATTCTAATGCAGTCTCACAATTATCTTCAATTTTATTAATTACTTCTCCTTGTCGTTCAACTAGCACAGCTAGATCAACAAACATTTGTCTTAATTCAGCAATAGCACCAACTAATATTAAAATATCATTATGTTTACTAGTAACATATGCTAATGCTTGTTTTGCAGCAAGATCAAGTTGTTTATTATTTTCAGTCATTACACCTGTCATAAAAGCATTATCATTACTTTCTATAGCTTGTTTAACTTCTTCATCACTAACATTTGGATTAACAACTTTCATTTGTCTTGCAATTCTATTCTCATTTTCAGCTTTATTTAATTCTTGAATATCTCGATATTCTTTCATTAATTTAATTAATTTTGAACTTAAAACATCTACATGATTCTTTCTAATACGAACAACTGTTGTAGTAACTTTATGTTCTTCTTGAAGTTTAACATTTTCATCACGAAGTAATTGTAATCTAGTTTGAGCTTGTGTGAAATAAGTATTTGCTTGTTTAACCATCTCATTTAATTTATCAGTAGCTCCTTCTTGTTCATTTCCAGCTTTTAATTGTTCTGTTTGTTCTCTAAATTGTTCAATAATATTTTGAATTCCTTGAAGTTGATTTCTGATTTCTTCAACATTCTATAGAGATAAATATTTTTATTATCATTACTATTCTTTTTTTTTTACTCAATACCTTTCTGTGATTATTGAGTAATTTTAATCTCACAACTGTTCGCTGTTATTGATTTTATTTGAAAATAATGATTCACTTCTTATAAAAAGATATTCTTGATAATATTAATCAAACAAACTAAAAGGAAATTACGTAAATTTGGGTCATGCATAATAGTTCCTTCTTCAGGGACTGTAGAAGGCATTTCTATTTCTTCTCCTTTCTTAGGCATTCAATTTATTCAATAGTTTTAGTTTTTTCTAAGTTCTGTATTATTTCTATTATTACTTTTTCTTTGTTGCCCTATTTTTATCACTTCTATCTTTTTTTTTTGTTTTTTTTTGTTTTTCTTTGTTTGAGACTAAATGAAAAATGGGATAATTGAAACGAGATTAAAAACACAAAAACAAAAAAATGAAATTCAGAAAAATAAAAAAATCTCAAGTATCTTGAAATTATTTTTATTCTTCTTTCCTAAATGCAAAGTTTCATACCAACTAAAACAGTTTTACTTACTTCTCTTTCACCAAAAGGTTTTTCTTCTATTTTTATTGGATTTTTAATGGCTGTTTCATTTATAATGATTATGACAATGTCACTTCCAAGACAATATGGTACTAAAGTATTAAATAACACATGTGCATTTTCAGATTCAAGTGCTTGTCTTTCACATTTAGTTCAAAATGGAAGTAATTTTACAATTAAAGTAGATGATATTGCTGCTACAAACCAAAAAGTTTATATTTATTTAACATATGAATTACAAAATGCACCAAGAGGACGTATTAGTTTGTTTTATTTTAATTTTTTTTTATAAATAATTAAATTTAATTAAAATAGAAATGAGTGTCAATACTTCATTATATAAACCAAAAGAGAAAAATAAATCTATTACAAAATATGATGAAGTAAAATTAATTAAATCATTTACAAAAAAACATAGATCATTTTGTAATTCAAATAATTCATGTGAAGTATTATTAGCATCAATTGAATCAAGTAAACAATATGAAGATATATATGCAGTATTTAGTGTTAATTTTATTTCTTTATCAGAATCACTTGGTTCTCCATCATTAAGTATTGTATATATTACACCAGAATTTACATCATTTGAAGTATTTTGGAGAATAACATTATTAACTTGTATGTGTTGTTGTACATTATTTTTTATGTATATTTTAAGAGGTATTCCATTTAAACAATGGTCATTAGAACAAAAATGTACAGTACTTTTTATGATTGGATTAACTATTTCAAATAATGGATTTTATTCATATGAATTTATGAGTGCAAATGAATTATTCCCATCAATTAATGCAATTTGTGATTCAATTATGTTATGTTCATTATTATTATATGTTTTAGTTGTAATGGATGCATTAAGAAAACCTTTAAGTCAACGTACATTTAAATTCTTTTATTTCCCAAGATTTTTAATTGTTTTATTAATTGGTTCATTCTTAGTAAATCTTTATTTATATAATTCAGAAAATAGTGATCCTGTAATAGTAATGATGAAAGATCCTATTAATGCAACAATGGCAGTATTAACTGGTTTATTATCTCTTATTTATTTATTCTGGTTAATCTTTGCTATTATTCGTTCATTTTCTGAAGCTCGTAAATTAGGTGAAAAAGGTCAAAGAATTAAAATGTATGGAACATTTACTATTATTGCTATTTTCATCTTCTTTGTTCTTTTATTATCTGATTATTTTATTGGATACCGTTCAAATGCTGCTGTTTATTTAACATTGATTGCATATGTTAATATTTATGCTATTGTTTTAATGATTTTCTATCTTCCATCTACTAAAAATCAAAATGAATGGAATAATCGTAGAAGAGAAATTGTACTTGATGATGTTAAAGTAACACAATATGATGATGATGATAATGAATTGATTGTTGAAGAAAATAATGAAAAAAATGAAGAAGAATTACTTATCACAGCTACAACTGAAGAACCAACTGGAGATATTAATTCAAAGAAAATTGAATTATAATTAAATTAATTCATTTTGATTTTATTCTTTCTAGTTTAATTCTTTTACTTCTTGTTCATGTACTAATTCTATAAATGCAATAATATCAATATTTGCTGTATTATAAATACAATCTATAATTTCTTCTCCATTAATCAAACAAGCACGATCTAATCCATTTGTATCAATTGAATTTAATTCATTTACTGAAATATCTTTATAATTTCCTTTTGTAACTCTTGTAAAAATTAAATAATCAGAATTCTTTTTAATTGCTTCTTTATATGTTCTGTACATATAAATACCTTTTCCTAATTTCCCTTCACTCATTGAAAATCCATTTTTTTCAATGTTTTGCATTTCTTCTGCTGATTTACAAGGATAATACATAACCATAAGAAATTCATTTATTTTACATCCTACACCATCAGGTGTCATTTCTAATTCACCAACTACTTTCATCATTTGAACATTCTTATGAAATGGAATAAATTCAACCATGTATAGTTATTTCTTACTTAATTTGTTTTTTTTTTTAAGTTTTTTTTTGTTTTTTTAAAATATCTTTCTTATAATAAAAAAAAAAAAGAAATAATACACTATGAAATATCAATTAATTGTTTCAAGTTTTCCATCAAACTCTTCAATAGAACTATCTGCTGATGAATTAGATTGACTTTTTTCTGAAAAGTTATCTTTTTTCTCTTCTTCTTGTTTTTTTGTCGTATTGGTATTTCTTTTACCTGTATTTCCTAGTTCATTTTCCAAAGTAGATGATCGAATAGGGACAGCTTGAACTATTGGTTTCATTCTCATTTTACTTTGTTTCTTCTTCTCTTTTCTTTTCTGTTTTTCTTTTTTGTATTGTATTAAGTTACTTATAGTAGCACAATTACAAATTGAAATACATAAACATGGTGTACATACTATAAGAATAAATACTAATCCCCCTAAAAACCATTCGTATGATGGTTTTATTTTCATATTTCCAATGACTATTTCATTATCAAATGTAGACAACGTCGTTGGTTTTACAATTCCCATAATATTCATAGCAACACCACCAACCCAAACTACACATAATCCTATCATAAAACAAAATGATGTAATTCGATCTCTAGTTAATCCACTAATAATCCCAATAATTCCTACAATAACAAATACTCCAGCAAGTGCCATTTGATAAAACCCAGTAATAGCTCCTAAAATCATTCCATATATTAAACTTCCCATCTATTTGAATTAATTTTTTATTTTATTCTTTTATCAAAGAATATACAACAAACAATTATAAGGATTGCTGATGGAATCAATAAAAATTTTGGTAAATAACATACTTTCATCTCTTCTATCTCTGTCTTCTTAAACTATTATTTGATAGAAAATCACTAACTTTCTCAATTTATTTTTTTGACTTTTCTTATTCTTGTTTAAAAGATTATTATTTCGTTTTGTTTTATCTTATAACCTATAATTTTATAATTTTAATCAATTTATTCTCATTTACTTGTTAAATGACTTATTAATAGCATTAGACCTGCAATATAAAACATAATTCCTGCAATTTTCTTTGGTGTCCACCAACTTTTCATAGATTCATGTGCTTCTTCTAATGCTTTATTTCCTGCAACTAAATAAACTTGTGCTTCTTCTACAGCATCAACAATGTGTTGAGTACTTTCAAGTTGAATAATTGCCATTTCTCCAATCTTTGTATTTAAATCATTAATATTTTCAATTTTCTCAATAATCACTTTATAAACATCATCCATTCGATTTTCTGTTTGTTTTATTAATCTTTCTTCTTCTTCATCAATTTCTTCTTTTTCCTCTTCATTATTTTCCCAAACATTATCAAAATCAACATTATTTATTTTCTCACTTTGAACTGGAGTGATTTTTTTTGGATTATTTTCTGTTTTTTCTTTTGAAGTTATCTGTTTGTTTTCTGTTATTATTAATTCTGGTTCTTCTTCTTTTGCGATTATTTGATCATCATCACTATCAAAATCATCAAAAATTGATTCATTCAATTTGATTGGTGTGTCTTTAACTATTTGTTCATTTTCAATTGATTTATTATTTTTCTGTTGCTTTTCTAGAATTTCTGGTTCATTTATACTCTCTTCTTGTTGTTCTTTATTATTATCTTCTCCATGTGTCTTTTCATTATTCAATAATTCTGGATGTAACTGGAAGAGTAATTCACTGTTCATATTAAGAATGTTCCAAATCACTTTCATTTGATTGTTGTTTTTCTTTTGAAGCTTCTGAATTTTGTCTTTGAGCTGGTCTATAACTATAGTGTAATGTTTAATATTGAAGATTTTATTTTTGTTATTAGTTTCTATGAGTTAAGTCATTTATCTTAGTGAAGTGTTATGTTTGTGTCTTAAACAAACTGTACGTTTCAAAAGAAGAAATCATTTTTTCATTCATTTGCTTAGACCATTGTGTTAATTGTTCTCCAACTGATTGTTGTTCTGAGAATGTGTTAATATCAACTGACCCTGTTACCATGTCAAGAATTATTTGGTTTTCCATTTCTATTTTCTTATCAATTTCCATTTCCTACAAATGATGAGTATTTATTATTTCTTCTGAAAAATAATAAACAAACAATCTTTTTGATAATTTCATTAAAACCATCTTTTGTTTCTCGTTTGGAAATACACTCTTTTTCAAATAAACTTTTTAGTCCATTTTCACTACATTCTTTATGTTCTTCTTTAAAACAATCAAATGCCACTTTGTGGAACTCTTTGGTAATATCCATTTCTGTTTTTTTTTCGTTTTTTTTTTAAACTAGTAAAATATGTTTTATAGTATGGATCAAGTTAATTGTAACGATAAGACGTAATACACAAACCTTTAAATGTTAAGTAAAAAGGATAATAACTCCTTAAGATTTTAAGAATGATCAAATTGCTTAACATTTTGTCCCCATAAATTAGTGGAAAAGAGTTATTTTTTTGTGTTTTTCTCATATTTATTTCGTTTTGTTCATAATTTTTTTTATTCAGTTACAATGTTTTTTTTACAGACACAACAACAGACACTTTTGATGATTCTATTTTCATAAAACAATTATTCTTTTTTGTTATATTCTGAACAACTTTTGGTTTTATTGTAATTTCTAATAAAATTATTATTTTCTTAAATTTCCAAAAAATTTGAACAAAAATTTTTAGATTTTTTTTCATAAAATTTTTTGAATAATCTTAATGATAAGTGATAAAAAAAACGAAAAGACATTTCAATATCACAAATCTTCAAATTATTAGAAAATAAAAATAGAATAACAGACAACAGCCAAAACAGACGATGTCTGTTGTCTCTTGGTTCTCAAAATGAGATGAGATCTTAACAGTGATATTTAAGTAGGAGAAATGAACTAGAAATGAATACAAAGATGCAAATCATGAAACAACCTCCACAACTTGTCACCAAATGGGATAAAAGTTTTTTTTTACAATTACTAATGATGGTACCATTGGTTGTTGTATGTTTTCCATCGAGTTTTAACCGAAGTGAAGAATTTAAACAATCTCCATTGCCAAAACCAATAGATTTACTTCCTTCGATTATTCCATTAGCAGTTATATCTATTTTAAGAATTGTTCTTGCAGAAAATTTATTTAAAAAGATTGCTAAGAAAGTTGTATATAGAAAACCAGAATGGGATGAAAAATTTACTCAATTCAGATATGAAAGATTTGGACTAACATTTTTCAAATTTCTTTATTATCTTGGTGTTGCACCATTTGGTGTATATTTATTTAGAAATGAAGATTGGATGCCAAGTGCTTTATTTGGTCAAGGAAAAAGTGATTTATTACTGATTTATGAAAATTTCCCATATGTTCCTGAAGTTCCTTATTTAACAATGTTCTATTGTTTGGAATTAGGGTATCATCTACACTCTCTACTTTTCCATATTTGTTCAACTCCTCGAAATGATTATTATGATACTTTACTCCATCATGTAGCAACTATCTTTTTAGTCATTTTCAGTTATGTAAATAATTGTGGAAGGATTGGAGTTTGTGTAATGGTTCTTCATGATATTGTTGATGCGATTATGTATTATACAAAATGCACTAATGATTTTAAAAATCAAGTTCCATGTTATATTGGATTTTTCTTTTTAGTAATTTCTTATGCACGATTTAGATTATACGTATTTCCAAGATATATTATTTATGCTGCTATTCAAGCATATCCATTTATTCCAAAAAATGCAACAGGAGGATACATTGTTTGGGGTCTTCTTGTTGGAATGTTATGTTCATTGTTGATATTACATATTTACTGGTTTAAGTTAATTATTGAAATGATATTTAAAGTAGCTTCCCATGAAGGAGTTGTTGATCCTCATGCTGGGAAACAAAAGAATGAATTATAATTATATTGTTTTTCATCGGTATTAACTACTTGTCATTTAATATTTTCAAGAAAAATGCTAAAACAAATTAAATATGATTGTAATAAATAGTTTTAGGAATAGAAATGTATAATTTTAATTCAATCGTCTTTATATAAGATTATTTTCCAGAGTGTTCTTGATTAAAAATAAACTGTATTATTTTAATATAAAGTATTATTTTATTTCTTTAAATTCATCAAATACTATTATTTATTGATATTAATTCAAAACTAATTTAATAAATTATCATTAAATCTTTAATTATCTTTGTCTTGAAAAATGAATTGTTCCATATCTTTAGTTAACTCTTCTTCTGAATCTTCGTATTCATACAAGTCATCGTCTTCATCAGTTTTATAATTTGGTTTGAATTTTTTAACAGACTTCTTTATATGTTTTTCTTCAATATGATTATTTTGTTTATTAATTAAATGAATAATTTGTTGATTTGATTTATGAAAATAGAAAACAAGTTCATGTTCTTTGACTTGAATTTTTTGGAATGATGGAATTTCATATAAGGATTGGACTTTTTGTTTTATAAAACTAAGGTTAAGAGTAACTTCACTAGGACCATAAATGACTTGAATATCTTCAGGTTTTTCATGGATGTAGATAGAAAAGGTACTTAAAATTGATTGAATATCTTTTGTATTAAAATTATGAGCCATGGTTTTAACAAAAAAGTTACTACAAGTTAAATGTTCTTGTTCAAAAAAGAAAGTTGAGATTTCGATTATTCCTATTTTTTTAGTTTGTGAAATCATCTTAAGAGTGCTACTAGTTAATTTATTGTCTATGTAATAGAATTGAGATTCTTGAAGTTCATCAGGTAGTGTTATAGTATCAAAATTTCCAATCATAGTAATATTGGAACAACTTTCTGTTGCATTCATTGTCATTAAATGATTAGGAGAGCAAAGTGTTATTCCTTTCAGTGTATCTAAAATATAAATATTAGAATCGCAATATTTATTTATCAAAGTGATATTAGAAGATGCCCATGAATAACTAGTAATAAAAGAAGTAAAAGATGCATCAATATATACATTACAATAATCTGACACTTTTACTTTAATCTGTAACAATGATTTTGGACAAATTATATTAATTGATTCTTTAGCTTTTATTTTAAGTATACTTGAGTTATCTGAAGTGTTTTGGATATTAGTTTTAATCCTACATTTAAGGCTTACTTTTTGAAAGTTATTACATATGTCAATTCCTATAATATTGACATGACTTTTTTCAGCATCAATTGATAAGTTTTGAATAGAATTTGAAAGATATAAATTAAACTTTGATTTTTTAAATATACGAATGCTTAAATCTTTTAAATTATTCATCTCAGAAGTATTTATTTTTGTCATTAAGAATTCATTACAATCAATTTTTAAATTAATGATAGAAGTTAAGTCAATTCCATCAATACAATTTTCAAATTTTAATTGATTAATATCATTTTTAGTTATTGTTAATTCTCTTTTTAATTTTAAATCTTCTTTACTACTTTTTTGAGATGGTAGAACTAAATTATTATATAGATAAAATTGAACTTTAGAATTTCCAATCAATTGGCAATTAATTGGACTGTCATAGATGATAATAAAATGAGCTTTAAGATATCTACTCTCTCGTAAAATAAAATCTGCAATTTTACAATTTATCTTTTTAAAATAAAGAATTATTTTTTCTAGTTTATTTTGACTTTTAAGTACAGCAAATTCCATTTTATCAAAAGATTTTAATTCAACAACAATTAATTTCCTAATATTTTTAAATTTATAAAGATGTTTAATGTCTTTACAATGAATTTTTAGTGAAACTATTTTCTGTGAAATAAATTCATTTAAAAACTCTATTTGGCATAGATCTTCTGATGAGTCAATCCATGAAATCCTTTCTAACTCTTGATGAGTAAAAGTTCTTTGTGCATTAAGAGCATCTAGTTTTATTGTGTTAATATTTGGTATATTGTTAAATAAGAATGGTGCATATAAAAGTACTTTTGGTGGATTAATTCTTATCATTTTCACAGCTTCTTTACACCGAGAATTAACTTTAATAAAAGTTTGAAATGCAGTAGTACTGTTTAAATACAAAACAACATTAGCAAGATGTACTATGCTTAGTTGAGTCATTTCTTTAAATCTTTGATGAATGTAATTTTGAGCTTTGTCTTTTTATATTATTAGTTTTGAATCTTATCTTCTATTTGACAAAAAAAAATTATTATAGTTTTGAAATATTGAAATCAGTGTTAATATAATAAATAAAAATAGTAAAGATATTATAATAGTATAGATTTATTTTTAGTAAAGAAAGTAAAAAGAACTTTTTCTTCTTTTTCTTATTATTTTTTTATAATATTTTATCTATTCTTTTTTAATATATTTTTTCATTAATAAAATAAAAATGAAGTAAATAAAAAGAATTAATTAAATCTTATTTATTTATTTATTTTTTGATTTATTTTTTTGTTTATTTGAAGTTATGTATTATAAATTATTATTAAAATGGTTTTTCATTTAATCTATTTCATGGTTGTGAATTAATTCATTTTGTATTTAAGATGAGATTAGTTTATGAAAATATGAATTATTAATACTTCATAATGATTTACACTTTGAAATGAATATGAAATGAATATTTCATTAATTAAATTAATGATATTCAATCTATTTTATTTTTAAATTAATAAATAATAAATTAATGATTGAATAAGAGATATTTGATAAATATAATAATAAATAATGATATAATGATAAATAAATATTTAAATATTAAAATATAATATTATGTAAATGGATTTTTTAAAAATGTTCTAGCAAAAAAATAATGTAAAATTTAATTGATTAAAAATAGTTAAATTATACTTGATTTTATCTATATTTATTATTTCTGTTGATTTCATCTACTTAATTTAATTGGAATTAATCAAACTTTATTTTATTGTGAGATAATTATTATTAATTTTATTATTATTTTTGATGTTTTAATCATTTTTATTTAGTTATTGAAATGCAGAATAAAATATCATGGTCTATATAATGTTATATTTATAAAACATTACTTCTTTTTATCATATTGTTAAGAGTCTTTGTTATTCATATTGTTTATGTTTTATTTATGAAAAATGTTGAATATTATTTAAAAAAAATGGTTATATATTCAATAGTTTAATAATAAATTAGTTTAATGTGTAAAATATGTAATAAGAAGTATTTTTATAATTAAATCATCACTATGAATGAAAATGAAATAATTGAAATAATCATATAAATGATTTAAAATTAAACATCCACTATTCTTATATAAATGATATTTGTAATACTACAATTAAATAAATAGGAATAAATAGAATTGAAGAGATTATGAAATTTTAAGTATTTTAAGTGTTATAAATAAATATATTCATTAAACGTAATTGATAATAAAATATATAATTATATATCAGATTATTTATTATAGTTTTCATATAATAATATAAATATGATAATGAAGAGAGAATAATAAGAAATTACTACAATTATATATATTCTTCATTCATTATCTGTATTTAAATCTTCATCAAAATTAAATATAAATACTTGAATGAATATATCATCATTCTAACAAATATGTAATAAAATTATCTACAAATATTATATGTGAAAAGAATTTATAATATATAATCACAATTAATTAGTATAATTTATAATAAAATCCATTTTTGGTTTGTCTTTATTACTTTTCTTCATTTAATAGCTATTTATTTTTTTATTATTTATTCA